TCACCCGCTCCCGCTCGCCGGCGCTACCCGCGTACGGGATCTTGTCCTCCGGCAGCGCGCTGAAGTACAGATGCACCTGCGAAAACAGACCGCGCGCGCGCGCGCGCGTGGATTCAGATTGGAGTCTCGAGTGAGGAGGCGGAGGATAGAAACGGATTGTGTGCTCGTAACCGAGCCTCGTATACCGTAAACGCTAGAGCTGGGGCGGGCCATGTGCAAACGATAATGCAAGCTTATCGCGAAAATTGCATGAGGCGACGGCCTATAGTTACTTTACATCGAGCGTGGGATTTTGCCGTATTTGAAGTATACTATCTTCTCTTAACGGCTCGCGGTGTGTCGACGCACGTGTTTGCGAAGTGGTTGGACGACTTTGTTCCAAAAATAAAATAACATTTTTTAGATTAATCAAAAATATATTAATTTGTCGGGTATAAAAAAAACTGTAGCCGCACCAAGGAAATTTTCTGATGGTTGAAAATAATCAGAAGATTCTGATTCTAATTCTAGTTGAGATAATCAAAATTAGAATTCTATCAGATTCAATCAGAAAATTTTGATTTATCATTTTTAACTAGAATTTCAATTAATGCAATCAAACTCTTTTTCGTGCGGTAACAGGGTTGTCACAAATTTCTCATTCTAAAATTCCATAATTTTTCCCTGATTTCCAGACAAACATGATTTTCTCTGGCATTCAATAATATTTTGAAATTTTTTTGAATTTTCGTCCTGATTTGGAAACCGTCAAATATTTTGTTGAAAAATCAATTTAACACAGCAATATAAATTATTATTACTGCTGCTGACACTGCTTGCATTTTTAATTGTTAACCCTTTGAGGGGTACATTTTTCTTCTGAACAAATTATTGAAATCATAGATCATCTATGGGTTTTCGGGGTCGCTGATTACGATTCTGATGCCAGAATTACGAAATAAATAATAAATAATAAATAGACTTATAAAAGATCAATTTTCCAAAATTTTTTAAATTTTTTTCGGAAAAACTAGCAAGCAGAAAATTCTGAAAAAATATATATTATAGTTTCAGATATGGAGTATACGCATAAAAATTTTCAGAGCTATAGCACTTCACGTTTATGAATAGTCGAATTTATTATGAAAAAAACGAGTTTTTTTACATTAATTGTTTATAACAAAATTGCGAATAATTAAATTAATGCAATTTTTCATGGAAATTGCATAACTTAGATCCCTAAGAGTCTAAAAAGTACTCATATGCGCATACAAATTGCACAATAGATCAAAAATATGGAAAAAATTAAGAACAAAAGGTGGGACGTATATATCCCATTGCCCCTCAAAAGATTAAATTGGTAGTATTTCAAAATTGCGTAGGTGTGATGTATATACATATATTAAACTTCTTTAAAGTTAAGAATTTTAATTTTCCAAAAAATTTTGCAAAAAATTCCCTGACTTTTCTCTGATTGCCTTGACAGTTTTTAATTTTCCTGACAATTTCTTGATTTCTAGTTTTGTGGTAATCCTGAGTAAAAAAATTGAAGGACTTATTTGTCCATGTAGAAAAATTATTGTTGAAGGCTGATGATTATATATATATATATATATATATATGTAAATGCGTGCATTACATCGTTGATTAAATTGACAACTGAAACCATGCAATAAACTCCAACTAATAATTCAGCTGACTTTTTATCCCTTCATGGTATCGTATCATATATGATATATGTAGACAAGAGGAAGAATTTAGTGTCAACTGTACCTGACATTAACCGATGGTCATTGAGACTCGTTCTGACCGTCGCAAATTTAGATAAATATCGGGATGGGCACTGTCAACATACCAAAGAGACGAAGGAAAACACTGACGTGCGCGTTTATACTACTGAGACGGAAACCTGCTGCGATGGAGTCACGACAATAAAAGGAGTAGGGAAGGCACGCCGGGATAAAAGTGCACGCGCGGTTTTATTTCGAGCGTATATTCTTACGACGGCATGGCATGTCTCTCGTGAAGGGCTGGGTGTCATCGCGGGTATTTCCATAAGAATATCGTCCTGGTGAGTGAAACGGCGCGCGCTCGATAGTCGTTGGAATTTGCGTGTAATCGAGTTTCTACACAATCTAGCGGTAAATTTCTCCGCGTTACGACTCGCGTCCGTTTATGAGTGGCAATTGCATCGTGTCAGTCCCGTGCATGCCATTAAACACTTCGCGCCGCGCGCGTGGGTCTTGCGTATGTTCCTTTTGTTTGTGCCAGCCGTACCCTTCCCTCGCGTCTTCCTCGCATAAGAATTATTAGAATAAACTATCGATTAATAATAAAATAGTAGAAAAAGTAAATATATATACGGAAAGAAATATCTAAAAATTTAATTAGATACAGATCTAAAAGTAATTTTGTTAAACCATTAAAATAATTACGTAGAAATCTCAAGTATGATGAGCAATGCTGCAAAAAGTTTTGATACTCTTTGAAGCAACCAGTTTTATATCATTATTTTTAATCCTACAAAATTATTTTCAAATCTGTATCTGTATCTATTTATATCAACTGGATTATAATAAAAAAAAACTTGTGTGCTCGGATCGCATTAAAATTAATGTTCTACATTGAATGGTTTTCATAGTATGGATATTATTTCAATTCCATTTAAAATAAAAAACCGATATAAATATATTCACAGAAATGATTAATGTGATTCGAGCATGTCAAGTTTTCTCTTCACAATTTAATTGATTATTTTAATCACGTTTAGCCCGTTTAATTTTTAGAATTAATAGATTTTTTACAGATAAGATTTGTCATTTTTTTTTTACTAATAATTTAACTAATTGCATCGATTTTATATCTGTTTCTGTACAGTTAATTTTTGAATAATTATATTTAAACCGTTTATAAAAACATATTTGTAAATCTACGAAATTTTCTTTTATCGAAGATTTAGTTGTCGAGATCTAATACTAGTAATATTTTTAAGCTATAAATTAATTAAAATAAAAGAATAAAGAAAAAAATATTATTCTTCCTCCTTTAAATTCTTGTGAGTATTATATTTAAGTAAATACATTAGGAATATATCGCAAAATATATTCAACATGAAATTCCGAAGGTAAAACGTGGATTTCGTAAATATCAAGGATTCTTCAAAAGAAAATATCGGTATCTTTTAATTCGCATAAAGATTGCACCGTATTGCTTGCTGTCCCTCGTTATAGACGTAAAATCTTCACGAATTGCCGCGCGAATTATTGTGCTTTCATATACACTCGAGATCTTCGCGCGAAAACGCGAATTGACGGCATATCGTCGTGCGGGGGGGATAGGCTTAAGAGCGCGAAAAGCTTGTTGCACGGGATTACCGTCCCCTCGCCGAGAACGCCGAGTCATAATATATAATGCGCGTTAGACGTAATGACACTTAAAATGAGTAAAGAAAACGCGCGGACGGACGCCGCTAGGACGAGGAGCGAAAGCGGGAAATAAAAGCGGGATGGAGGAGGCGGAGGAGACGAAGAGAATAAGAAGAGGAGGAGGAGGAGACAGAGAAGCGGATTTGCACGTACCGCATCGCGGAGTCGCGAAATAAACGACGATGTTGGCGCGCGGCACGCAAAAGCCAGCACGCATCGCCGAGAGGGAGAAAGAGGACTCTATTCCGCGCCGTGCCGACGCGAAACTCTCGCGCTTAAACCAATTAATGGACGGCGAGTGCGTTAGTTAGCTCCTTCGGCGGGAAGAAATCTAACATGGAATTATTCCGATTGTACGCTATTGAGAGTTTAATTAAATAAAATGATTTCGTTTTTGACATTCCGCAACATATTTCGGTATACGAGAGGATACTTTCAACTTCAGACACGTTAGAGAGGAAAATCAGAGAAAAAGAAAGAACGATGATAGTCTTTCAATACATTCTATAGACTGAGTTTCAAAATGCACTGCCACTGTTGAAAACCTATACTTTATGTTACACAATTTGCGTAAGGTACATTATAGATTTTTAGTAAGGCAGTGGATTTTTGATTATATAATCATAATAATTGAAAGGCTTGCTGTAATAATGAGTTAACCCACATTTTATAAAAAAGGAATAGATAAATTTTAAAATTAAAGTGATGAGAAAAATGTCAATATCACATGTTTTAACTTTAGAGCTCACTTACTCCGTTTTTACAAAATGCAAGTTGACCTACTGTTGCAGCAACAAAGTTCAATTACAAATTTATTATAATTTAAAATTAGAGAAGTAGAAATTTCACTTATTTTTACTGCGTTATGCGGCAGCATGATTTGGAGATGTTCTTTTTTTGAGAATGGAACCTCTCAAAAGAAGAGATCGAAGGGTACAACTGTACGTTTAGTACATTTTGTATTTTCTGCATTCTCTCCTTTCATACCCTTTTTCGGGTGAACCCCTCGATTACGCTTTATCATCGTTATATCCAGCGAAAGCTTTCACCGGCGCGGTCTGATGACTCACTGCGCCGTCGTCGTTCACGATGGTAATCGTCCCGGCGATCTGGAGGCCCGCTGTCGCGGTCAGTGGTATCCGAGGAGACGAATCACCGGAGACACCCTCGCATTACACGCATACGCGACAGCTGAGAAATCGTTCTCACCTCTTTTTTCCTCTCATATTTCAACAGTGAATTAATTAATCTCTATTATTAATACATAAAGTACCTATAAAGTCCCATAAAAATTTTTGATCTGCTTATCTAGTCTACTTATTGTTAGCCTCATTATTTTAATCCTCGATCTTTTTTAGAGTACTGTTATTACACGTATAAGTTCGTTAGTGTTTATTTTTTATACTTTTTCAAACTACGATGTATCTAAATGATTTTATTATATCAAGATAAAATGAAACTGATTTATTATTTTAACTATCGACTGCTGTTACATGTATACACTTTTCGGTGTTTATCTAAAAAATGTTCAGACTACGCTTTGTGCTCGCAGAATTTTATTACATCAAGATAAAATAAATCTGTCATTCTACCTGGTCGGGCCTCAGTCCGGGTGGCACCCACGTGTACTCCTCGAGCGCACAACCACTGTCGTCGTCGCTTTGCGAGTGCCTCTGGTGATGCTGCATCAGAGCCTCCTGCAGCGCCAGACCGGCCGGCGCAGCTTGCACCGGGCTCTTGAACGGCTCCTGGTGAGGCGCGCCCTCGGCGCCGCTCGGAAAGGCCATGGCCATCGCCATCGGCGGACCTGGACCCAGGCCGAGTCCCGAAGGACCACCCGCCTCCGTCGAAGTCCGCTGGTGCTCCTCTCGCGGGCACCTGCAGCTCCTGCACACTTTCCTGAAAAAGAAAAAAGTATTCATAAGAATAATGTTATTTCATTAATATATATAATATATATAATATTTTTCCAAATTACATTGGCATAATGTATTGATCAGGTTTTGATCTCAGTGTTTTAATGAATCACATATTTGTAACAAAGAACGAAGACATAAACATTGGATACGTATCTACATTTTTAAAAATTTACTTTGTAATGTACAGAACACTGTTTTTGTAATATGAGAATCCGACATTTATTGTAACATTATTATTTTAACATTGAAAATGACCCGATCGGCGTCGAAACGTTTGTACTTTTTATAAACTTATTTTTAAATATTAAATGTTATTAATTTTAACTGGCTCGTAATCCTTGTGCTTTACTTATAATATACTTGATTTATTTCAATTGAGCGATTCTACTAATCTTTATATATATACATATAAATTTATAATACATATATAAAGATAAGATCTCAAAATAGATGTAAAAGGATTATCACGGGAGTAATCCTTGAGGAACAGTGCAATTGTGTTTCTACGTTCATGTTTCCTTGAATTAAATTACAGACCTACAATTTAGGATCTTCCTATTATTAAAGCCTGGAATTGTACCTAATTACAGACCTAAATTCTGTAAAATCTACTTGACTTAGGGTAGCCTAGAATTCTGAAATGTAGAACTTAAGAGATCTCAAATATATCCAACAGAATCTAGAAATTCTGTTTAATCCACTTAATCCATATTTCTGCGCTTATTAGTGTGTCTCACATATGTGAGGATATAAGAGGAAAATTGGGGACGCGCGGTAACGAGAGTAATAATTGAATATGATGTACGACAAAATAGAACGAATGATGAATTATTACTATCTAGCTACATATTACCGCTGACAGCACTTAGTTCCTCGCTTGAATAAATCGATACGATTCAATCTAAAATTTTTCGCTCCGCGAGCGTGTAAAGAAATTGCACGTGCCGTTCCACATGTTCTGGATCAGCGAGCACTTAAGCTATCCAAACGTTCGTGTGAGGATGTTTTCCACCGTATAGTTGAGAAACGATTCGTGATTAATACAAGTTTCACTGTGAGCTGTGCAAATATGTCGTTTTCCGGCATCGAGGACGATAAATTAAACCGTTAAACAGGAAATTGCGTTCTAGATATAAATCTACGTGAAAGTAGACGAGATAATAAAAACAAACTAATAATGGTTCAGTCACATATGGCATTTGATTTCTACTTCTCGAAATATTCGCGTCGTTAAATTTCTGGCTCGTAAATTTCATTTCTATGAATATGTCGCTTGATTCCATTGCAACTCGTGCATATGTATTATTTTCTTATTAATAAAGATATGTACATTTGCTTAGTACCGTTATGTTTCTTAATATCTGACGTTTAAATTGAAAAAAAATTTTTTACGATATATTTATTTTTATGAAAATTGTAAGCAAACGAATATGAGTTAGATATACTTTAGTAAAATGTTGTCCCGTAATGTTAACGTTTAAGATTAAATGTCTTGAAAATCACTTCGTAATTCAAACTTGAAAATCACTTTGTATAATTCAAAAATCAAACTTATATTTAAAAATTAGATATAAAATAAAATATTACTTTGCCTGTAAAATATAGAATTTGCAAAAAATTCCTAATTTTTATTAGTATAATTTGAAAAAAACTGGCACTTCACATTAAAATTTTTGGATCTTTATCCAGAAATATTCCACACATTCAATGTAGGTATATATATGCACAGATTCTTCACTTAGATTTCAGAATAAATGCTTCACATTTTTCCACAACCCACAGCATTTTTTTAATACCGCGACTTCTTCGAGTTTTCCCGTAAAAAACAATTTTACGTCCGCGGAAAAAAATATCGAAAAACATTTCTTTCCATCACCGACAGTGGCAACTTACTCGGAACAACCGGCGGCCGCATCGTAACTCGAATGCATCGAACCGCAATCGGCTACGCGGCCACATTCCGCGTCTACCGCGGCACGGCGACCGAAATTGGTTCCGTCGTCGTGATGAGCGCCCTTCAGGAACTCCACGCACTTCTCCGTCGGACTCGCGCGCGACGTCGCCAACGCCGGACAGCCAACCACCACAGCGACGACATCGTCGACGTCGTCGTTGTTGCCGTTCGCGCCGTCTTCGCGATTTCTCAGAAATGCATCCAGGTAGTGATGCTCGGAGTCGGTAATGGTTGGAAGATCATAAACACCAGGCGTCGCCCAAGGTGCATCGATACCGGCGGTGCGCGCTGCGACATCCTCGTCGTTTTGGCTACCATTATTTGGCCTGGCATCTTGATTGTTCTTCCTGCCGTAGAGCTTGCGCAAGTACGCTTCCTGGTGACTCCTGGTAGCCCAGCAGCCGCCTTGCCACCATCGCTTCGAACCGAGCACCGCCGTGCGTCTTCTCCGCGCCAAGCTCGACATGCTTCTTCTTACGCGACGAATGGCGGCGAACGCGATGGGCGAGCAGCGACAACCACATCCGGACCGACAACCGACGGGGACGAGGTGGTCGTTAAGATCGATTTCCACCGGCGGTTTCTTCCACCACCGTGTGCTTCACGGCGTAACCCCAGCCCGACGGTAATAATCGCCGTGGCCGAGACCTTCTAATCTAGGGAACGCCGGCGGGGTCCTCTCTCCTTCCTTCCTCCCCCCCTACGGTATATTATGTCCCTTTTCGCGACCACCGCCGCCCGTTCTCTCGCAAAAGCTAATAAGACGACGCTTCGGGGCACTCGAGACACACTGGGCTTTTTGCTCCCACGTAGAACCCTTCTCCCGGGTATAAACGTATTAAATGCCTCCCGTGGTATACGCTCTTGATTGCGTCTGAAGCCTGACTTTCCGGCTTTCCTAGAAATAATGGCTCATCAAAGAGGCGTTTGTCCGTCACGAGCGATGTTTTCGTGGCGATATATTCCGAGTCTTCTTGGCGAAGCTTTAATGAGATATCCCCGCTTCACCTTATCTCTCATCAATACTTATTCCTTGACGTCAATTTAGCTGATCAATAGACACTAATCGGTCGCCAAGACGTCGTGGTCTATCACTTTAGCTTTTCTCTCCTCTCACGATGCTTTTCTCCGAATGCATTCTCGTCAATCGCCACAGAGACTTGCCAATCTGTTTTTCTTCTTTTTCTTCTGTTCTCCAGAATGTTTTTCCGACCCACAAAGATAGGTATCAAAGATTAAGTTGAACCAATAGGTCCAGTGATTTGTCTCCTCGGAGATGAGGAAAGCTTCACTTGTTACAAATCAAATTCTCCACAAGCGTATTTATAATAACTGACGATCACAACGGCAACTTCGCGAAACGAAGTCCGAGATCACGGGAAACAGTGTTCCCGATCTGTTCGCCAACATACCTTCCGTTGCAGTTCTCTCCGTTATCACGATATGTCAACAACGCCCGCGTTCGTAGAAATATCGCGTCGAAGTTTATCGTTGCACGTCATTCTCCTCGCGTCGATACAGAACGGACGTATGGAGGAAATGAGAAAATTCGCAAAATACAATCGACACTTCGTACTGCGAGAGGGAGACGTCTCACGATACAAAGATACCCCGTCAGAATAGAAGCGTCTCGCGTCGAACGGAGCGAGAATGGAGAGTTCAATCGCGCGATGTAATATCGTCGTCGTCGTCGTCGTCGTTGTCGTCGTCGTCTCGCGAACGTCTCGCGAGCGTCTCGCCACCGGTGGGATCGGACTCATCGCGCCGCCCGTTCACCATCTCTCGATTGGCACGCGCGTTCGCGAAACGCGAGCAAACGTATTGCTCGCGACCTCGGTCTCTCGAGCAATAAGGGCAATAGAGACGATGACGGCGGCGGGGGAGGAAGAGGCAGCAAGGGACGGAGTGATCGGAGAGAGAACAAGAAAAGGGAGAGGAGGATCGAGTGCGCGCTCCGGCGAAAGTAGTCGCCGTAGGAGGTGAGGATCGCGGGAGGGAAGAATCGTGAAAGATAAAGAAAGAGGAAGACAGAAAGAAAAAAAAAAGAGAGAAAGGAAGAGAGATAGATAGCTGGCAAGAAATAGGGTGGGTAAGGCAGACCGGAGGGATGAGGACTAATCTGTATGTATAACCGGTAGTACAGCACGGATTAACGTTTTAATACGCGACACCTATCGCGCGGTACAAACGCGGTTGGTCGAACGGCCCGAGATATGCGATCTGGAACTTGTTCAGATCCTTCTCAGGAGTTGATTGCAGCAGATGTGTGGAAACTTGTATGAGCGGATGACAGCCCAGGAACGATTAACGTGTTGCACGGAATGATCAGCGATTATTCGTGATCCAGCGGGATCGGTCCGTTTCATCGCTAAGCGTCATTCCGTTCTTCGGAGCACTCCTCTGAGCGTGGTCTCCGCGAGTCGATCACGTCCGTTTTCAGTTACGGGAAATCCGGATGACACCCTGGTGGAAACTTCGTCGGGACGATTAGGTCGTGTGACACGATTGTGGAAAACATGACGGAATGCGATTGACGCGCGGCGCGACGCGACGCGCATTAAAACCTTCAGAGAGGCGGCGTCATCGTCCTTCGTTCTACCGGCACGGGGCGTGCTGAGGCCGAGCGGACACTGAGCATACTCTGGGACTCAGCGGGCCCCCGTGTCTGCGGGACACGCGGCGTGAGGGGAATAAGCCGGGGCCCGCAAGCGAGTGCCGGCCCCGCGCGAGGAAGAAGGAAGGAGGAATGAACGAGCGAGCGTGCGAGTGCGTGTAACTCTCCGACGTTACCAATACGCGCGCGAACTCCCCTCTTCGCCGAAGAATCGCTTTCTCTCTCTCTCTCTGTCTCTCGCTTCTCTCGATATATTTATATTCGTTTCTAATACGTGCGGCGTGTCGGGGTCTGACGCCTTTCGCCCGTGGGCCTCACCGTCGGAATACGCGGGGCCCGGTTCCGCGTATGCGTGCCCCGCGACGGGCCTCGGGGCCCCCCCGAGCTCTGGCAAACCGAGGACGCTCTGCATTTACTCCGCTCTACTCTGTTCTGCTTCGTTCTGTTCTCTTCGAAGAACAACTTCTGCTACTTCTCTGCAACGATGTCGTTCTAAGAGACACACGCCGCGTTTCTCTATGCTGTACACGCAAGACGACATTTCGTTCGCTCTTCCGTCGCGATTAAGTACCGGTTGGTTAAAAACAAACATAAAGAGAAGCGTTTCTACGCTGAGGGACAGCCGGTCGCATTACGATCCTTAAATTGCTGCAGATGAGAGGACACGTCCCGCAGAGAAGATAGAAGGCTAATGAAAGTAGTTTGTGCTAAGTGGATCTGATAACTCGACCATATTCTTAGTTTTAACTTTTTTTATTTTTAGATAAAGGATCCGGAGTGCAAAAGAATAGAATAAATGCATAATCTATAAGATTCACTTTAAATATAACTTTTAGTAACGTTTAGTAAATTATTCATATTTATAGATCCAATTTATTTCTGTTTGAAGTATCCTTTTTATCTGACTTTTAGAAAAAAACGAGATTCAGTTGTAAGAACTTCGGACTATCGTACTAATTGTAAGAGAAAATATTTTATATCTATGACAATAATTGCACGGTAAAATAGATTATGGTATAAATTATAGTCGTTTTCAGTGTCAACAATACTATACATTTTTTGTACAAAACTATAAATAATGTATACAAACTACATGTATTCAATTACTGTCGTTTACTATGATTATAATTATGTTTATAAACATTATAGCAGTAATAATGATAAAAATGGAGTTAACCGTAATTATTTTACCACGCAATTAGTCACAGATAACAAATACTTTTTCCTCAGTATGTTTTATCTAAATCAGTTTCGAATTAGGATCGGTAAGAAAGATAACCTGATAGCCTAATTCTTGTCGATCGTGTTCAGATACAAATCCCAGCTAATATTTCAAAGAGGCTTCTGCCTGGTTCACTGTTCAGATATCGCTGGTACAACAAATAGAGATACCGCTTGAAAAGCCAGACCACCCAAATCGGAAATCTCTATTTCTTTTACATGTCTGTTAGGTTGTTAACTCCTACTTTTACGTAAGCCGCGTCTATTTCAACATCTCATACTCATTCTTAAGATAAGTCTATCTGTGAATTAGTATGTTAATTAGACGATGTTTAATACATGAGCAGCGCATACTCGTTAATTTCTCCCCATTTTCGGACAATTCTGTGTATCTTTTAGTTATTATGTAGGATTAACTACAGAAAACCAAGATAAAATACAAAATGTATGACTACAAGTGCTCTTTGTCGGTAATTTCGAAAGTGCTTTTTCGTATGTCACAGTTAAAGAATTAATAAACATTTCTGGGGGGTAATGTGCAACACAAATATTTTTTCGCTTATACATTGTAACAGTGAATTTGCTGTTTGCTAATTCCTTCTTTACTAATTCCTTCTGTCATTTAACTGTGCGTCTGTTACGGTATTATCATGTTTTATTTGCCGTGTACGTTCTTATTCTCACGGAGTTTTTCCTAAAAACAACAAAGTACTCAGTCTACTTATTTTTCACATGCTCGTGCGTGCACTGAGAGAAAAATTTTGTATTTATAACTATAATTACACATTAATTATAATTATTACTGCTACAATGTTAGTAATAATAATTATACGTGTAGTTCTATCAACAAATATAGTTGATAATCGAAAATGACTATAATTATAGTCATTATATATTACCATGAAAATGATTGCAAGCATTACTACAATTTAATCATAATTTATAGTCATTTCTGGGAATATAAAATGTAACTATAAAAATAGATGCTTATACTTAATGTATAAAAATAGAATATAAAATATGGTGCATAAAAAATTACTATAAATTGCAGTTAAATTACTATAGTCATTTTCGGTCATTTGTATATTTTTTAATAGTCGTAATTAAAGTAGCCATATCTTATCGATGTTAACATAACTACAATCGTCTTAGTCATGTTGAAAATTCGGATTATCGCGGCTCAGTTTCAACCTTCATCCGTAATAGTGTCCATTACGAATAGCGCGCGGTTGAAAAACACAGATGTTCTCGTCGGATTGTGGGCACGTGTAATTGAGTCCATTCGTGAGGGATGTAACATGGCGATTCATCCGTACGTGCGCGACACGCCTCTTCCGCGAAGCCGACCGAGTTCCCTTGATGGACCCAGTCCTTTAAGTAGACCTTTAAGGTTTTCCCGTGGCAGAGGTGCGATCAGCGAGAGCACGTTCTCGCGGAGTTTACCGCAAAAACTGTCACACAAGAGATGAGGCAAGGCGAGGATTTCGCTCAATGGATGGCAGTAATCATGCAAAAACCACCGACAGAATGCCGCTCGGCGTTAAATAAGTCTCACAAAGGAGGGACGGCGATATTCGAGTGAGGCTGAGAACAAACGTGCCGTGTCTTATTGCGGATTATTCGATTAACTCTGCGCTCCGTTCCGACGAAGCTTAGGTATCGAGATTAGTCCACATTGTCCGGTAATAACACGTGGGATCATCGTCGGACTTTATTCCTATATCAAACGCGTACCAAATTTACGCTTATAGACTTTCTCCTCAAGACTGCGACACGCAACACGGGACTAATAAAAGTCAAGGAACGTAATTTAATTTCTATGGTTAATTAAATTAAATCGAGAGGTTTGCCTGCGAGCCTATCATCGCCCGTTCGATTTATGAACGCTCGAAGATACACTATAAAAAATACTCAGGGTCGACACAATTAAATCTGAGAGTTGCGCGATTTGAGTTAAGTGAAGTATAATCAAGTCAAGAAGAATTAAAGCCTAGTTAGATACACTGTAAAAAAAGATGGAGGAATTTAACTCGAATTGAGGTAAACCAACGCTTATGATTATGCCGTCCCATAATTGAATTGCGTAAATAATTAGTTCAATTTACTTTTCTGTATGATTGGTTTGATCTCTATGAAGAAGCAGATGTATTAGAATTACGCAGTTAAATTACCCTTGAGTTATTTAGTTGTAAGGTCTTTATTCCAATTTTAATGTTTCATTGGACATACTCGTCACTCCAGATAGAGTGGACGGAGTTTTAACATAGCTACATCAAATGTATTATAAAAGGTGTTTAATTGTGAATATTAATATATTATCCAAGATTTCATGATGAGATTTGGCGATCGTGTGGGTGAGTTACTTCGTTACTTGATTGCTTGAATTTCAATATCTTATATACATGAATTTAAAACAGATAACACTACAGTTTTGGCAACCTGTGAGTGACTCTACATCGGACGTAGCGAAATAAAATTTTTTTTGGTACAGCCCGACAGTTAGTTCACCGTATTGGACTCTGAGATTGAATTGGTTTACCTCAATTCGAGTTGAATTCCTCCATCTTTTTTTACAGTGTATATAAAAACATAATGACCCTGACACCGGACAAAGAGTTTCTTGCTTACTTTTCTTTCCCACCGGAATATATACGCTTAGCACATCGTTTCACATTCCCGCGGCGACACGACGGATTTCTCCACAGCCACCGTTTCGTGGCAATCTAATCGTAAAAAGAATTTAACGATTCGTTAATGACTATCGTTTACAGAACGATTTCCCGCGGATCAATAAATTTTTACGATCCAAAGTGAAAAGAGAGTGGCTTCTAAGGCTCCCGCGCTCTCCTATACTCCTTTTCTTCTCCTTTTTTTCCTTCTCTTCTCGATAGATACCCACAATAAACCGATACAAGCGAATTCCGCCGCGGCGGCATTTTTCTCGCGGGATCGATTTCCTGCGCGGTTAATCGCGGACCCGCCGCCCTTCGACCCAACAGGCAAATGCGATATCCGGTAACTGCGTTCGACCAGCCTCCGACGTGTAAAACTACATTGTGGCGATCGGCATACTTACTTCTTGCGGCTGCCGCGCAGATAGAAATTGCTATTACTTCTCTTAGAGCGAGAAGCGGCCGGCATAATCGTCGTGTGCGCTATGGTACCTTCGGCAAGCGACTGGTACCGCAACCGCGGTGTGGCCAATGTCGCACGACGGAATTACTGGCTATCTTGCCGTACCGTACCGTGCCCTACACATCGATGGACCCCAGGGTTCTCAAACCGCGGAATTTTTGCGCGACCGTCGATGGCCAGCGCGAATCGACGAGCGACGGACGCGGAAACGCGGCCGACCGACACCACAATGCGGCTTCCGACGCGTCTGCATCTTAATTGACTACTGTATTTTATGAGAATGAGGTACGTAAATGTCCGTTACATCTATTAACTTTATTATATATGAAGAAAATATGTTTATATATTACCGTAAAATATTACGCATTTGCGTGATACTTAAAAGAAGTATTAAAGTATTAATACTGTAGAAATATTCTGATTTTCACTATTAAAATCGAATATTATACGTAAAATTTGATGAAAATTTAAATTCAATTAAAATCAAGGATGTATATAAAATTTTATGGAGAAATCTATTCAGGCCGATAATTGCGCGGATAAAGCGAATTTTAATCAAGCGAGAGAAATAAGAGACGCTGTAAATATCACGACAGTTAGAAAGTCTTTGATTATCTACTAAATTATATTTTCTCGGATTCCAAC